TGGATTCCATCCCCAGTGAGCGCGCGCGCGCACACACACACACACACACACACACACACACAATAGTTCAACCCAGTGAAATGTTATAATGAATAAAAAATATTCATCAGTGAATATTTAGTGAGAGGCAAATATGCTTTCAGTTGATGGTGAAGCATGCTATAAAAGTGTCCAGTGGGGTGTCCTCTCCCTTGAGGCTGGACTTGAACTTGAGATTATCTTGCTTCAGCTTCCTGAGTGCTGAGATTACAAGTGTGGTCACCAAGCTCCTCCTCCTTCTTTTTCTGTTTCACAGTGTTTAAAGTCATATAAAGAGGTGCAAGCATCTATGGGTCTACTCCAAGACTTTCCCCGAGGAGGGCTGGGAACACAGTTTACTGACAGATCACAGTTCAAGGGCATCCTTCATGACATAGTAAGGCCAACCTGAAATACATGAAACTCTGTCTCAAAAATAAATATTTTAAATCCATTTTCCCTGCTCCCAAATTTCTCCCTCCCCTGCTCCAAGACAGAGACTTGTCTGTGTAGCCTTGGTTGTCCTGGAACTCACTCTGTAGACTAGACTGGCCTGGAATTCACAGAGATCCACCTGTCCCTGGTTTCCAAGTGCTTGGAATAAAGGTATATACCACCCCTACTCCCATCTATCCTTTTTTATTTTTAAATCTATTTTCTGTTGCAACTCTGTTCAATAGAAATGTATATGAGACATAGATTTTTAAGTGTAATAGGAGCTATATTAAATAGTTAAAAAGAAAACAAGGCAGGTGTGGTAACAGACACAGACAGATCTCTGTGAGTTCTAGACTAGCCAGGGTTACATAATAAGATCTTATCTCAACGACAAAAACAAACAAACTAAACTAAAAAGAAAACAGAAAAATCTTAATAAATTTCATTTAACCTGATATGTTCATTGCAATATACAACTAATACAGAAAATATTAATACGATATTTTACATTTTAAAAACACTAAGTCTGCCTAATACCTAATTAGCCAACACAGTGTATATTATTTTACATTGTTGGACTTCTTGCTTGTGTGTTCAAGTATATAGTACAAATGTTTATATTTTCAGAACATTTAAATTTGGGTCATCAACATTTTAGTCACCTAGTTAGAATATGTGGCTCTCGACGCCCAAATTGGAGAACACAGCTCCGTAAACCAATAGTAGCTAGCGTTTATCCAGTTCACTACGTGCTGGGCACTGCCCCAAGTCCACTATGTATGCACTGTAACTCATTCCGCCTCACAATAACTCCAGGAGGATGGACTTGTCGTCATCTTAAGCATATATTACTCTCGCAAGGAAATGGTCACGAAAGTGTGGGAGTCTTGCAAACCGTTTTCCTGTTATGATGGGGTAGAAGTCTGGCTGCAAGGGCTTGGGTAGAGAGGAAGTGGGAGAATTGGCCAGAGGCAAAAGTTATTCAGAAAGCTGGATGGTCAGTAGGCTTGATGACATACACTAATAATCCCAGCTCTCAGGAGACAGAGGCAGAGAATCACTTTGAGTTTAGGGCAGTCTGATTTACATAGTGAGTTCCAGGTTTACAGAATGAGATCTTGTCTCAAAGTGAAAAAAAAAAGTGGATGATTAAGAAAAAAATCAAGAGCTGACAGAGGGAAATACCATCCAAGAAAAATCTTCTGAGGGGTGGAGAGACCTGTAGGGGAGGTAGGCTGCAGAGGAAGCAGGGAGAGGGCAACTGCAAGGGATACGGATGAGGGCACTGTGCTGAATGGAGTTTCCCACTAACAGAGGCTCTGATGCAGAGATTGCCTGGCTTGGCCAGACATTGCACCACAGCCTCGCAGCTAAAGGGAAGACTTGGAGATGCTTAGTTTATCACAACAAAGGGCAGCAATAGTAACTTTAATCCAGGGCTTCTATGGAGTGGGGTGTTGCCCTAGGCACCATGTGTTACCTGATTTAATCTCTGCAGACTTCCCATAGAAAGCAGGCCTCTTAACAAGTATGCAACTGAGGTTTTGTTTTGTTTTGTTTTGTTTGTTTTTCCAAGACAGGGTTTCTCTGTGTAACCTTGGCTGTTCTGGAACTCTGTAAACCAGACTGGCCTCAAACTCAGTTCTGTCTTCTCTGTTTCCTGAGTATCTCCTGCCTCTGTCTTCTGAGTGCTGGGACTAAAGGTAAGCGCTGCCACCTCCAGCTCCAAGGCAAGATTCTTGATCAAGTCTCAAGGTTCAGTACGAAGAGTCTGGATTTGGGTGCATGCCATCTCAGAGACCAAGGAAAGAGAAAGAGACAGAACTAGCACAGGTGGTTCAGGTTTGACCAGCGGAGTAGGAGCCAAGTTTCTCTGAAGAAATCATGGCGATAGTTTGGACAGATGTAGATTAGAAGAAAACAGCCTGGCAGATGTGTGTGTGTGTGTGTGTGTGTGTGTGTGTGTGTGAGAGAGAGAGAGAGAGAGAGAGAGAGAGAGAGAGAGAGAGAGGTGCTTCAGTCTCCTGCAGAGCTCATCAGTTTGGATGGGAAGGAAGAGTGCAGGTTTGACTAAAGTGGGCAGAAGTCTGAGGGTGGAAGGAGGGGTATCTTTGTAATGGAAGGTGTGGTAGGAGAGGCTTGCAATCTGTGGAGGGGCAGAGTAGGGTGGACGGCATGACAAGAGAAGGTTGGAACTTTGATGCAAAATCCATAAAGGAATGGAAGCCTTAGCGACTTCTCCAGTTGCTGCAGGGGAGTAGCTAGAAAGAAGAGGCCCTAAGGGGGACAGAAACAGGGAATCAGGCAGGGGATTAATGTCTGCAGACTGACGGGAGGGAATTGGAGAATTACAGGAGAGGAAGAGTGAGGAAGGGTAAGTGAGAAATTGCCCAGAGCATGGCAGCATCTCATCGTCTCATCCTAGGGATATGAGTCTGGGTCGACCCGTAGCCCCAGAGAACAGATTAGGGGTGGAACCTGGCACTGGCCAGGATCATTGAGCTATTCCTCCTCCACCCAGTAACCAGATTCAAGTCAAGCTCCTCTATGCTCTACTTCATCATTTGTAGGAGATTGGGGTGTTAAAAAAAATGACAATGGGAGTCAAAGAATTTCAAAAGCACTACAAGGAAAGCTGTGGTCTAGAAAGTCTGTGATTTAGGAGTTGTCGTGAACCAAAGCAGGTACTTTAGATACAAGACTGGGATGGTGAAGGCAGTCCCAGTTTCCCGACCTGATTTGCCTCCTTTAACTAGCTTTTAGCTACTACCCAGGCTAGAAGTGAAGGCAGAAAACGGGAGCCTAAAGATGGGCCGATCGGATTCAGCCCCAGAAAACAGCAATGGTATGGGTTCCGTCTTCACAGAGAGCCCAGCACTTAGTTATCTCCCCAGAGCATAGGCCTAGACAATTTTATTCACTGGAACCTGCGTCTCTGCCCAGGCCTTGCTCCAACAAGACCACCTTCCAGATCCTCACCTCTGCCAGTTTAGTGATCAAGACCCCACCAGCCAGGCACGTCCCTTTGACCCAGGACGTGGCAAAAAGGGGAGGAATTAGGCGTTACGTGGACAGTGAAGCGGGAGGTGAAGGGGGACAGTCCCAGACAGGAACGAGAGAAGGGCAGAAAAAGCCTCACAGAAGCGGCAGAGATCCGGAGAAACCAGTGAGAGACTAGGCGCTCAGTGCGGACCGGGTAAACGAGTGGGTACCCAGGGAAGTCCGAAGATCCGACCCTGGGTCGTCCAGGATGGGAAGGGGCTGCAAGGTGCGGTCCTCTTTCAGCCTCCTCTCGCCTCCTCCTCCCCATCTCGCACAAGGGGGCCGGAATGGTACCAGGAGCGGGGGCTTTTCGGAGCAGTCGTCTGGAAAATAGACTTTAACCCGCTTTGTAGCTGCGAGGGCGCCCGGAGCGCTCAACTGGACCAAGGCTCCTGGCATTCCGGCGGGCTGCTGCCAAGACCTGGCCTGGAGTCCCCGCAGAGTTGTAGAGCATGGAGATCGCACTAGCCTTCGGGTCTCAGGAGGCCAGCTCGGACGTGAGCATTCGGGCCATGATCTGGCCAGTAGGACTCACCCGGTCAGAGACAAGTAAGCAGAATTCTCTTCGATCTCCTCCCCGCCATACGCGAGCTGGGTCCCGACCCCCTAAATCAGAGCCCTCTTAGGCCACAGTGCCCTAGAGGGCTGGGGTGGAAAGTTTACAGAATACAGTTTCTAAGAGTCTACTGCCCTCTCGCCCTCTAGGCTTAGTTAGCCTAAACAGATTGGCGCACTGCCCTGCGGTCGCAGGTGGAAGGGAAATAAATGTCTGAGGGGCCAGGATGCCTCTGCTATCGAAGGACCGCTGGCCTGTCCTCACGAGTGGCAGGCGAGCAGCAAGACCAGCCCCAGTCTAGGAAACAGTGACCCAAATACCCCCTTTTGGCCTGGTCATAGAACACTGGAGCCCGAGATCGCTCTGCGCTTGAGGACCGCAGTCCGGTGGGAGACAGCCGCTGCGCGAGGCCTGGCAAAACCGCTGCATTCGAGCGCCGCGGCTGCTGGAGAGCTGCGGAGCGATAGGTTCTGTGGCTTCTTTCCGGACAGTGCGAACCTGGCCCCGATGAAAAGAATGCACGTTCTATTTGAAGCGCTGTACTCAGAAACATCCAGAAAACGCGAAATTTCAGGAACATACCGCAGCTTTATATTAGGGCTCCAGAGGCCGATGGTGGGTGAGCCGGAGGGCTCCCTTAGGTTAGGCGAACGTGTAGCAGGTTCTCTGGAGAATCTAGGCGGGACCCCAAACACCCATCCAAGTTCCCTAAGAAATGAAACGACGAAGGGAAGGGGTTCAACTGCAGTACACTCTAGAAGAGTTGGTTTTTTTCCCTCGAACCCGGGCTCTGCCAATGTCCCCTTCAGGCCAGGCTGCGGTGGCAGCTAAAGGGCCGAGGCAGAAAATCAAGATGCAGGGGGGTGGGGTGGGGCTGGGTGAGGAGACACTAGATGGCGTGCCAATGTTCCAGTCCGGTTTTTGCCTCCGACTGGGGACCGCACCCCCCCTCCCGCCATGAATCGCCCCGCCCCGCCCCGCCCCCCACCTTGGGGCAGGTGAGCGGCGGCCAATGGGCGAGCGCGGGGCAGGTGCCCGCTAACTCTCTCCTTGCAGAGCGGCAGCCAAGGCCTGGCCGGGCAGTTCTAGGAGGATTGTGGGCCGGGGTCGGTCACAGGGTGACTTGTAAGGGAAAGAGCCAGGAGGACCGCAGAAGCGACTCGCAGTAACATAAGCAGCCCCGAGCCTTGGGCGGTTGCCGAGAGCTGCCCACTGGGCCGCGGGGACCACGCTCCTGGCCGTGCGCAGTGGCTCAACTCGGTGCTAGGACACTCGCACGCCCCTCGCCGCTCCGCGCCTGGCTCGCCCGCAAGGGCCGAGCGCGGGCGGGCGGGCGGGCGGGGGAGGTGAGGAGTGCGGGCGTGAGTGCATGTGCCTGGTTCGGTGCACACCCCGCAGGGCGGCAGCGCCAGGGAACCGAGCGCTTTCCAGAGCCCCGCTTCCTCGCTCCGCTTCGGCGGCCGCTATCATGTTCCAGCCTGCGGCCAAGCGGGGTTTCACCATAGAATCCTTGGTGGCCAAGGATGGTGGTTCCGGCGGGAGCCCTGGCAGTGGGGGCGCGGGCTCCCATCCTCTGGCAGTGGCCGCCTCAGAGGAACCGCTCAGGCCCACGGCTCTCAACTACCCTCACCCCAGTGCGGCCGAGGCGGCCTTCGTAAGTGGTTTCCCGGCCGCCGCCGCCGCGGGTGCCGGTCGCTCGCTCTACGGAGGGCCCGAGCTTGTGTTCCCCGAGGCCATGAACCATCCGGCGCTGACGGTGCACCCGGCGCACCAGCTGGGAGCCTCCTCGCTGCAACCCCCTCACTCTTTCTTCGGTGCCCAGCATCGGGACCCTCTCCACTTCTACCCCTGGGTGCTTCGGAATCGCTTCTTCGGCCACCGCTTCCAGGGTGAGTGATCACGTTGTGTTCATGACCCGGGGACGCGGGAGAGGCTTGGGGCTGTTCAGAAGTTGTTGCGGACAAGGCTCGGGGGGATCAGCGTTGGCTGTGCGCAGGCGATTAGCCTGTAATCTATGTTGGTTTCCTACCCATGAAGTGAGGTTGGGACCTCCACGTTTTCCAAAGTATGTGGCTGGTTAGGATACAAGCTTAGGAGCTTTTTCTGACCCTCCTTTGGCCAACCTTAATTTCCTTTAGGACTAAACTGGTCACATCCCTGAAAGTGCGTGGCCCTTCCCGCGTCAGAGCTTTGAGCTGTGACCGTACTTCGCTCTCACGGTCACCACAACTCTTGGTGCGTCCGCGCAGAGGAAAGTCCACCTGCGCGCCCTGGCTCTGTGGGAAGCAGGGTAGTGTGGTTCACTCCGCTGTCTTGGGACGTTTCTCAGCAACCTTGGCCACACTCCTCATGGACCTAAAGTGGGGAAGGCTTGCAGTAAGAAAACTGGCTTTCTTCATCGCTGACCTCCTCCGGTTGCTAGAAGCTCAGGACAGTCTTCTTGAGTGGTGGTGGACGGGAGAAGGGGGCTTTTAAGGTCATAGATAGTCTTAGTTCCCCCCCATCTGCAACCCCGCAATTGGTTTGCTAATTAAGACCCCTCCAAGCGCCTTACACACACACACACACACACACACACACACACACACACCAGTTGTCTGACTTTCTTAAAGAAATGAGAGTTGTGTTTATTGCAGTTTATTTTCTTCCTTGGATTTGTAGTTTTTTCCTTTCTTTATTAAGAAAAAAATTGGCCTTGATACCTATAGCAATTGCTTTAGTTCCCAGTTTGGTATATAGACTGGACCTCAGTCTTATGCGTTTCCGTAGGTCAATTCTGCGTTCCGTGAAACAGCAGCAAAAAGAAACAAGGTTGGCACATTGCTTCCAGGAACTACTTTGACAGTAAGCCAGGGCTACACTGCTAAAGTGAATCTGATATTTGATGCAATTATTAATATAATAAAATATATTTGTAGCTTTAGCTTTAGTTGCTTGACTGCCTCGGATAAAGCTATTTGGAGAGGACCTTGGTTTGTCAGCCAATGACCCCAGCCTCACCTGGCCACTACATACTAACCGAGAAAATCCCGTTCATCCAATAGAGCAATTATTTCTGCAAGTATTTAGGAGGGCAGGGTTTTTTTTTTTCCTTCAAAGATTTCTCCAAGCGGGAGGGGTAAAGCCTACGGTATTAGTATTAGTTGTTTTAACTAACATTTCCCACCACTCCACATTAATGCTTACTACTAAAATGAAGTTTTATCCAGATTTAGCTAACTACCCGAGGTCCCCAGTAGGCTCTATCTTCAGCTTTGCGCCTGCTAATGGAGTTTGAGTCTTCGAGGTTGTGAGCCCATGACTGAAGGGACCTGGGCTGAAGGGACCATGCTGAAGGGAACTGGTTTGTGAAAGATCAGGGGCCCTGGAGGAGAGGTTGCTGCCGGTTCCTAGCCTATTCCAGACTGGGAACACTCAAGAGGTTCAGCATATTCAAGGTGCCTCCTAGATGGGACTTCCCGCCCTTAGTCCGGAGTCTCCGCCGTTCTCTCCATCTTTCGCACCTCTGGACTAATCTGCCTCGCCCTGGGCTGGTGGCGCCTTTTGCGAGATCCAGTTTTCGGGCTCGGAGCATCCGCAGCCCGGCAAAGTCAATACATTCTCCGCAAAACCCTCTCGGAAATTTCCGCCTCTCCCTAAGCCATCGGTCCCAGCTGATACGATGTGGAGTTCCACAAACGGTGGGGTTTTTTCTCTCCAGAACCGCGTCTCGACGCGGAGAAGGATTCCAGTGTAGCCGCGCTTGCGAACTCGGAAATCCGATGGGCGCTGACCGACCTTCTCAACTCCGAGGTGCGGCAGCCGTGAAGCCTGCGTGCCGACGACGCTGCCTCCTCCAGATCCCACCCGGCCTCGGGGCTAAAAATTGAGCCGTCCCAGGCCCTCCGGCGCCGCGTTTTCTAGAGAACCGGGTCTCCGCGATGCTCATTTCAGTCCCGTTTTGATGCAAGAAACCCTACCAGAACGAAAAGGAACCGTGTCCGCGTTCTGTGCGCAGCGCTTTCGGGCAGTGTGAGCCGGTGGCGACTGGAAGCCGCTTCTCCCTTAAGCGAACAGGAGAAATCTGGGTGCATGGTCAGGACCTCCGAACTGCGGGCCAAACGGGAGGAACCCGCGAAGATTGAGCAAGGTTGGCGTCGTTTTAGTGATACTGCACAGCGATTAGGAACTTTCTGGAGTGGAAAGCTACGTCTGAATGGGACTAAGGGAAACCTAGCCCTCCCAACCCTTTGCGGTTGTGGGTACTAGCTTCAAAGGGCGCCTTTGTTCACACCGGACGAGGAGGGAAGAGGTTATCTCCGCTTTACCGTCACCCTCTCCAGATCCTAGCTCCAGGCCATTCTGCAGGGATGCCGGGCTCCAAGTCACTAGCTAAAGCGGCCTCTCCATCTAGGGCTGGAGTTCCAGCTCTGGGTGCTTCGGTATCTCACTCCTGCTGCTTCCCGAAGCCTGCTTCTTAGAATCTCCATTGCTAGCTCCCAGTCATCGCCTTGCAGAGGCCTGCAGAAACAAGATGTGGAAATTTTCACATCCTAACTCTTAATTCCGGGGAGGAATAGGTTCATGTTCCTTTCTGATGGTTGTATAAAACTGACAGCTTCTCTCACGGCCTGAAATTGTTGAGTCCTAACAGGCTGTATCCCAGCCTCAAGCTTGTTCCGTCCTGTCCAGTTGAGAGCTGGGCAGGCTCTCCTGGAAGTGGTAGGGAGGTGTGGACCCTTTCTCATAGGTCAAGGAAAGAAGCGCCCAGGTACACAGACACCTCGCCACCTTGTCTTTACAGAAACATGCAGCTATTGATTAATATCGTCGGATTTTTTTGTTTTATGCTAAACATCATCTTTCCCACTGGAAAAATGATTTGGTGTTTTTTAATCAAATAACTTACCATTTATCAATATTTTGGGTAATATTCTAACTTCTTGATTCTTTCATAGATGGGTCAGGAAGACTCCGTTGGGGCCCATGTATAAGAACACATACTGGGGGGGGCGCATGCTAATGTCTACAACAGGATGTGCAGTTTCCCTGAGCCAAGCAAGACTGAGGACTGGAGGCAAAGAAGCCTTTGATCAGAACAGAGTTTGTTCTGGCCATCCTCATCCCATGGGGTTAAAAAGAGAGCGCTTTCCTCCTCTTCTCAGGTGACTGGCACTCTCTCTCAACAGAGCAGAGCTGCGGCTTGCTTGCTCAGCTCCTCCCTTCCTCGCACACCTCTGCATGCCACTTACTCAGACCTGTGGCCTCCCCTTGCTGCGGCTTCACATCTGCATAGGTTAGGCCAGACCCTCTGGAGGCTGAGATAGCCAGGCTGCTCCCCAAGGCTCCTCTCTGGATCATTTGTTCAGAGGAAGCCACAGTTGAGGCTTTACCTGGATTCTGAACAATGTGGGCTTTTGAAGCAATTTATTCAATAAAGGCTTCTCATCCATTTCTCTCCCCTTTCTGCGGACTTCCAGACTGGTCTTCACACAAGACTTCCAGTCTTCTTATTCACTCCAAGAATGGGCTTTTAATGTTTTCCCCTCTTTCTCTCTCTGGGAAGCCACCTCCTCCACTCCCCCTGTAGGACCTAATGAAACTCCTTCTTCTTCAGTCAGGCCTGAGATCCTGGGTCTGCTCCTACCCCCATGGCTTAGGGACGCATGTCCATCCTTTACTCCCCAGTGACATCCCTCAGCCTGCTGTGTAGTAGTGCAGACCCAACACTTGAAATGGGTAGGAGATAGGAGGTTAGTCCCAGGCAACTGTGTTCCAAACAGGATTCCAGCCACCCTACTGCCTGGCGTAGGTCCCCAAAGCTTAGGGATGTCTACTGACCGAATTTTAACAAGGGCACTCATGATGTGACTGTTCCACTTACATGGCCTTTCCAGAAATGGGGGATCTCATCTGAATCATCCAGATTACTGTCTTCAGAATAAAACAGTAGGTCCAATTGAGTCAATCCAGTAGCCATCTCTGAAGAAATTAATTGGATCAGTCAATCTCAACAGCTAACTCTGTCAAAACATCCCATCTAGGTCTCTGTGTTGTAGGGTCAGGGGAACGGATGCAGGCCACTATGTGAGGACCAGTGCCTGCAGGCCTCTGAGAATATACAACTGTGTGAGGGCCCAGTGCGGGGGCGGGGGGGGGGGGGCGCACTGCAGCTTGGGTAGAAGCCTGCTCTGGCTTTTCTACCTCCTGACCACCACCCCAGCCTTACTCAGTCCTTTCAGTGTAGGAGCAGAGGGTGGGAGCTTTGCCAAGGGACAGTCACACTCTGAAATCCTGTATAGTAATGGGAGGAAAAGACAGAGGGGAACCTGGAGTGTATATTTACACACACCCAATGGGGAACGAATATTCTTGAGTGTGTGTGTGTGTGTGTGTGTGTGTGTGTGTGTGTGTGTTTTGAGAGGACAGCTTCTAGATATTTATTTCTGCTCAGGACTACTCGGGGAGGTAGCAGGAGCCTTTCCAATGAGAAGAGCTCCCCTTCTTCCATTCTTCCCTTATGGGCCTGCCTTCACAGTGTTTAAGTCCTGAGGAGAGAAGGGAAGAGCAGAAAAAAAAGTAGATTTGAGAACTCCAGAGTCTGCCTGCTTGCTGGACCTGGCTTGCTTTTACCTCCTTCGTGGTGGAGCCTAGGCCTGCTAGCAGGATTTTTCAGCAGCTAGTAGTAGCCTGAGCACTTAGCTGTAGGGTACTTTAGAGTCTTAAATGAAGTCTCGTTGATCTACCTATTAGTCTTGTTCTTTCCCCCACCACCTTTCTGACCCCCAGCCCTGTCCTCTCTATAGTTGGTCCAGGAAAGGACTCTTCAGGATTAGATCATTCAAAGCTAATCAATCTTTGGGGCCCGGGTGGAGGTAGAGTTGCAAGGGCACAGGAAAAGACCTAAGGGGCTTCTGCCATCCCTTGGCCTTTCTGCTTCCCCTGGCAACGCTGGATTTGGGCCGGTAGGGCCTTCATCAGGCCTGGACTCGCCTATTGGTTCTAGAGTGGATTCTGCTTGTGGTCCCCTCAGGGTAACTCTGGAGTGAGGTTTCAGGGTAGCGGCAAGGGAAAAGGGAGAAGTAGAGGAGGTATCAGGATTTCATAAGTGGCAGGGCGTTCGCGGCAGAGGCCGGCGACTCACCGCGCCCCTTCTCTCTGTCTGTACCTGCGTGTGCTGCTATCGCCTCTGGGCTGCAGCAAGCGACGTTCCCCAGGACGGGCTGCTTTTACACGGGCCCTTCGCACGCAAGCCCAAGCGGATCCGCACGGCCTTCTCGCCCTCGCAGCTGCTGAGGCTGGAGCGAGCCTTTGAAAAGAATCACTACGTGGTGGGAGCTGAGCGGAAGCAGCTGGCCGGCAGCCTCAGTCTCTCTGAGACGCAGGTAAGCAACCCCCTGCCCCAGCCTCAGAGTGCCTGAGGTAGGCGGTTGGGTGCAGGTCTCCCTAGCCCTCGGGTTTCAAGAGCGACCTACAGCGAGGCATCCCTCACCTCCAAACCCTACCCTTTCTTTCTGTTTGCCCTGATAAGTTGCAGGAGTGTTGTTTTGTAATGAGACAGGGGCTCGCTATGTAGCCCAGGCTGGCCTTGAACTCGCAGCAATTCCCCTGTCTCTGACTCCTGCCTGTTGGCATCACAGACAAAAGCCAACTTGCGGAGCTTTCCCAGGTCTTATAATCAGGGCGAAGGAGCCCACCAGAAGCATGGAATTTGATCCGCAGTGCGCCCCAACTGCGAAAATCCCTAGCCTGTCTCCACTCTAAATGACACAGCACCCAAAAGTCAGTGTGTGTGTGTGTGTGTGGGGGGGGTGATCCCGTCATCTCTGCCCTGCCTGCGCGGATGTTCCTAGCAAAGCTCGGTAGACCTTAGCTGACCTCCAGCACCTGTGGTATGTGGTCAAAGAAAGCCAGTGTCAGCTTCACAACAGAAGGAATGAGTGAGTACAGGTCATCTCTAGCTCCAGTGTGAGAGTGACCCTGATCCCAACACAGGCCATCAGCAGCTGGGGCTCTGTGGACTGCGGCATGTTCACTGTCCGTCATAAAGACATATGCCTGTAAAAGTGTTTTAGGAACTGAGGCAGGAGGCTTGAGCACGCAGGGCCTCCTGAGTTGGGAAGGGTGTGAACTGCATTGATGTTGGGGGACTTGAATGGGGTGGCATTATAATTCCCAGATAGGGTTTTAGTAATTTATTATTTAAGGAAAAACATTAGAGAAGTCTAGGGAACGGTAAGGAGGCAAACATGAGGGATTTTTCTTTTTACAAGAGCCTCACCATATATGAACACCGGTGGAAGTGCCATCAAATGCTTGGTCCATTCCTGTGTACAAGGACTGAAGCAGCTGAGTGACTCTCAGTCTGGCTGATATACTGGACTGCATTCCTGTATAGGCCTTCGGACCCTGCCAGTTCCCAGATGCCCAGCTCAGGCTCTGCTGGTTCTCTACCCTTCCACTGCTCCTTCCTCCTGTTCCACCCTGCTATATGATTCCCCATCACCCCTCTTTAGGTAGTGGGTCTGATTGTGCCCTCCCATTAGCTGGGGTAGACAGAGCCCCTCACTGTACCCCAGGCTCCCTATACTGATCTCACCCCCGGTCCTGGTGTTTTGGCTACTGTATCTGCTACCCTATATAACAATTAAAGCATAGCCTCCTTCTAGGCTACCACAGAACTGCAGAACCTGGAGGTTTTGGGGGGGTTGCTGGTTGACAGCTCTAACTGAAAAAAAAATCTTACCAAGGAACAGAGTTAATTTAAAAAACTGTTTTTAAAGAAGCAATGTTGAAAAACTAAGCTAATAAAATAACACCTCTTTTCCCTCCTGGCAAACAGTGCTTTACAATAATTGTTTAAAACAAGGTGTCAACTTAAGAATGGTGTTTATAATTAACTTCATGTAAAAAGTAATATTTATTAAATGTTAATTGCAGAAATGTAGGAAAACAAAACAGTTTATAATTCTACCACCCACAGATTAGCACTTGTTGAAATCACATCATTGTTTTTAAACTTTTCAATTTTTAGCCCAGTGAGAGCATGTTTAATTAATTTTCTTTCAAACTGAATCTAGCTTCCTGTCAATTTTAGCTCTTAACAATGCCGGTTCATAGTTCACAGGCTGCTTGCTGCTCTCCTTTTTTGTTATGGGACATTTCAAACATACATTTAGAACAAAGCCAAAGAGAACAATGTGATGGGTCTAGCTTGCCAGTCATCTGGACTCTTGATAATCCTGTTCCTTCAGGAATGGTTCTTTTTACGTACAGAATAGCACTCTCTCCTATCACAGAACTCCCTGGGGAGCTGAGAAAAACTTCCTTGTAGTCCTGTCTTTCCAGGTAAAAACCTTGAGGCTGAGCAGGTACCCAAGTCAGCAGACATGACTTTGAATACCTGGCTGCCTGCAGTGTGCAATGGGCAAGTTCCTCAACCTCTCTCAGTGGTGTCTGCTTCGGGAAAAAGTTATTTGAGGATTAGAGGCATCTTTTATGAACTCAAGTAACATCCATTCCCATTCCTTGTCAGGCCCATTCTCTTACTTAAAGTAATATGTCAAATTAGTAGCATAACAAAGGCCTTTCCTAGGTGTCCCCTGGGCCAACATTCTTCCTGCCACATTCAATATCCATGGTCAGAGCTACTTTTCTATTGCCCTTGAAACTTTCTGTTTGAATGTACACTGTATGATTAGCTAACCATCCATCTCTCCGTATTCCACATGCAAACTTACCTGTCAAGTATCTGTTACTCCAATCAGCTCCCCGCTATGTGTTTCTAAAATGACACCTGCATTCGTCAGACCTCTGTGCTCGGCTTGTCACATGTAATTGTCTTCTATCTAGCAACCTGTCTCTGTCTACATTCATTAAACTCTCTCCCCAAATCGGTAAGTGTTTTCTCCAAATTACATGCTTTTCTTCCTAACAATGACCTCCATGTACCCATCTGTTGATCATCTCATCCATTTTGCCCTCTGTATTCCACCATCCATCCCTAGAGGACTATCGGCAACTAACAATATCTTCACACACCTGCCCATGATTACCTATCACCTTCTCAACTCAGCTTGGCTCAGGCTTATCCCCGGGCTTCAGTTGTCACATTGCTGTGGTTGAATCCTCTCCAGCCTTGAATTTGTGTGGCTCATCCATCCACTTTCTATTTCTGACTTTCCTGTATTTGTGTGTGTGTGTGTGTGTGTGTGTGTGTGTGTGTGAAGATCCCTCCTCCATGTTCCCAGAACTCACAGTGTCTCCCTTGCCTTTCCTATTAAGCCTCACATTTTGCTGTTATGACTTATTATCTGTCATGTCCATATGTCATTCTGTAGATCCGCTGCATCCATCTCCCAGGGAGCTCTTAAAATATGGGGATACCCAGGAGATGCTCTTAGGACATCCAAGTTGCATTCCAAGGGAAGAACATTTTTCCAACAGCTCCCTGGGTAATTATGGTGAACAATAGATCCTAGCATCTTGACTGTAGGAAGCAGAGGTCAAGTTTATTTCCTCATAGGATCTAGCACAATGCCCAACATGGAGTAGATATTCAGGGACTGTGTACTGAATAAAAGCCAGACATGGGGCTGGAGAGATGGCTCCGTAGTTAAGAGTATTAGCTGTGCTTTCAGAGGACTGGGGCTCAATTCCCAACACCCACATGGCAGCTCACAACCTTCTATAATTCCAATTCCAGTGGATCCAACACCCTCTTCTGGCCTCTGTGGGTACTGCATGCTTGTGGTACACATATACACATGCAGGCAAAATATTCATGCACATAAAATTTTTTTCAAAAGTTTTCAGCCATGCAAGCTGGTGTATATACCAGCACTCAGAAGGTGGAAACAGGAGGCTCAGAAGCTCAAGATCATCCTGAGATATACTAAAGTCATCCTGGCCTATGAGAGACCCTGTCTCAAATCAACAAATAAAATACTGTACTGACTGAGCAGGCACATGCATTTTGATCCCCCACACACGGCTAGCCTTTATCAATTACTCCAGTGCTCTCTGCTTTGGCTGCTCCCTCCCTGTCTTGCCCCTCCAATTGTCCAGTCATACTGACGTAGTTGATTGTTGGTTTTGATGGCACAAAGGCAGCCTATGTATGGATAAGTCTGAGATGGGGAGCTCTGTGTTGGCAGAGCTCCATCTGGAGGTGTTGAGAGGCAGGTAGCCCGAGCTACCTGGTGCAGAGCTGTATGTATACCTTAGCTGAGAGGTAGAAAGATGGGGCCTGGGGCACAGACAGTGCTCCCTCTTGTGTTGTGCTCATTTGCTCCTCACCCCTGTGTGCAGCCTGGGGTATGGCTAGGAAGGTTCCAAGCTTGCATCCGTATGGAGGCTTGACAAGTCTAGACCTGGATCAGACTAGCACCTCCAACACCATGAGGATGTGTGCCCAGCATAGGAGACGCCTGCAGACTGACTTCCTCAGACACCAAAACATCAGGCAATACCTAAGGTACACTTCTGATACCAGTGGACAGTCACCGGACAGGGGAATGAGTGCTGATCCTGGCTAGTTAAGTGTTCCGTTGACCCCTAGACTGGACCAGCAGTGTCTGTCTTTTACTTTTGCTGAGTTGTGAGGGAGAAGGCAGGAATGTGGTCTTGGACCTTGGAGAATCTTGACATGATGGGGAATACATGAATAACAGACAATCCTGCAGGTCAAGGGTAGGGTAAGCAACTGGAGTGCCCTGAAGTCAAACCTCAGACTGAGGGGGTCAGAGGAGACCAGATAGGCAGGAGGTTCTCAGCAGGCTCCTGGCCTCAAAGGTTTTGGGGGATATGTAAGGTTATAGGTGCAAGGAGATGAAGACAAGGATTTAAAGAAGGTAAATTAAAATGGAGATGGAGATGCCAAAACTAGCTGCCATCGTGGGGTTTGAGAGCAAGAGGAGATCTCAAGAGGCTCCAGCATGTCTTACCTACCTATGGGATTTCCTCGCTTCCTGACATGGGATGTTCTGCCTTTGGAGGGATAGATAGCAGGGATATATCCAAGTGTGAATTTCAGGGAAAAGTCTCACACGAGATCATTTTGGTTCTGGGATGACACACCTTTTCTGCTAAGCCTTGGCTCAAACATCTCCATATTCTTGATAGTCTAGAAGACCTACATGGTGGGTTACAGAGAAGCTAAGTGAGGTGCTGAGACAGGGACACAGACCTGAGAGCAGGTGAGTTTAACAGAGTAAGGGTGAGGATCTAGGCTGTGTGGAGGGAGCAGGATACAAGCTGAGTCAGGAGAAAGGGCTACAGCTAGTGGGAATGTTGGAAGTGGCCTTAGCTTGGCGGAATGAGGGTTGAGTTGATTCTGGGCGTAGGAAGACTGACATGATCAAATGGCAAGAAATGGATCCCCCAAGAGAGGGCAGGGAAGAGAGCAGGCTGCAGGGTGGCTTGATTGATGTCTCCAAGCTGCTGTCTATTCTGAGGACTTTCTGTGTCTGAGACCGACAGACTCAGAAGACATGCTTAAATTACAGCAGAAGAGAGTACAGTAGAACATAAGGAGACCTTCCCATCTCAGAGCTACGAGATCTTGACAGGGGTGTTTTGACTTCTCAAAGACAAGACAGGGTCTTCTCTGGAAAGTGTACAGGCCCCTGGAGCCGAAAGGCTTGAGGCTGGGGGAATGGGGAGAAAGGTTGAGTGAGCGAGCCTTCCTTCGTCCAAAACAGACCACTCCAAAGTTCAGTGATGAGCTCTGAAACACCGGCAGGAGCTGCTTTCTACCCATTTCTAAGCTCACTGTCCATTGTTTATGTATTCGCACACACGTCTTCACCGTAATGTAGAGGGATCAGTCCTCTGAGGACGTGGTCTGTGGGTCCATCCACAACAGTTTCTCACACACGACTCAAGGTGAGCATTGCCCCTCTCTACAATGGCTCTCCCTCTTCCAGCTTCCTCCAGCAAATAGTTAATCCACTTTCTCTTACTTCCTTGTGCTTTTCCTGGTTTCAAATCTTCTGTGTACAAATTTCCTATCTAGTCTAGTTTTATTTCTGTGGCTGCTACTAAAATAGCCTGACAAAAAAACAACTTCAGGGAGGAAAGAGTTTATTTGGTTACAATTCCAGATTACAGTCCATCACTTGAGGGAAGTCAAGACAGGGAGTCAAGACAAGTACATAGAAGTGGTAGGCCTGCTGGCTATTTCACACAAGAGCCTTTGACCAAGGAACTCACTTCACGGCCAAAGAAGTGCATCAGGAACCACGGACGATGTTGCTTGCCAGAGGGCAGGCAGGCTGTTTATGCTCAGCTGGCTTTCTTATGCAGTTCAAGATGGCCTGTCCAGGGAATGGCCTGGCCCACAGTGGGCTGGGCCTTCCTCCATTAATCATCAAGAGAATTCCCTACAGACATGGCCACAGGTCAATCTGATTTAGGCAAGGCCTCTATTGAGATTATCTTCTCAGAAAATTCTAGGGTGTGTTAAGTTGGCAGTTGAAGCTAACCAAGGTTGTTTGGTTTCTCCCAAACCAATTAATACAGAATTAAGAATTGATGCTCAGGCCAGTTTGGTCTACATGGGGTGTTCCAGACCAGTCAGAGCTACATAGTGAGACCCTGTCTCGACAAAACCAAACCAAACCAAAACCAAAAACACCCCCCCCCCCCAACAAACAAAAAAACCCTCTTGCAAAGCATGTCTGCTAGTGGCTCTGCGTTTTCGCACTTAGCATTTCCCCCGCCCTTTTTTGATTCGTTCCAGCCCCTCTTCTGCTGGCTCCTCCCATTTTCCAGATCTGTCCCTGGCACCACTTGCCTACAGTATGGGGCTGGGTCCCTCTACCTCTGTCCGACTGGATGACCATACATGGACACAACTCTGGGCCTTGGGACTTAACTCCAAAGCCAGAAAGACACTGCTTTGTCTCCCTGAAGTCCAGATATGCCTGAGCCGGTTCTTGAAGGTCAAGTGAGAGTTCCAGGTTACACAACCCATTCCAAAATGGGGAGTCTCAGAAGGGTTTATCTGGCTTCACCAAGAAATTGGGAGATACTCAGTGAAGCGGGAGTTCAAGAGACCATAGGAGCTTTTCCCTCAAACCACAGGGGTCAAGTCGGGTGGGTGGAGCCTCCAGTCAACATTCCACAAATGTCTTTGGGGTTAAGAGAAGTTAATACATATTGGTGGGGAGAACATATAGTCAGGTATAACCTCTAAAAACTGGTTCCCATGGAGCTGGTAGTCACATTATGTGATCTGCCTTCCTCCCGGGGCCGCTGCCCTCTAGCAAAGGGGCTGACCCCAGAGTTACCTTGTGGGTTAGGTTATAGGGTGTCACTATCATCTCCTATTACCCTAGCAAGTCATTTCCTTTCTTTATTTTTAAATCTAAGAGGGGGAAAAAGAACCCTTGATATCAGTAATGGGCTAAAGAAAATTCAGAAAAGTTAAGGGAACAAACAAAATTCCCTGGTGATTTGGGTCTATTCCCTTCTGTTCTCTCTCGTCCATGCATAGATCTCTGTCTCCCATGGCTGTGGGTACACTGTACCAACACTGCTCGTCCTGGCTTTTGTACTATTATGAAGTCACAACTGTCCCTGCTATTACAGGCTCTATAAACAGCGTCTGGATACTCAGCCCAGGGCTGTTCTGCAGAAGACAGACAGGTTGCCTAAGAAGAGGCCTGTGTCCTGGTTTCTAGGGAGTGAGTGAGCTGCTTTCTTGTCTCCATTGTTGTTTTTGAAATAATCTCATGTAACCAAGGCTGTCCTCAAAGTCACTGTTTAGCCGGGGATGAGCTTAAACTTCTGACCCTTCAGTCGCTACCTTCAAAGTGCTGGGACTGTGGACAAACACTGTTGCCTCTGGTTTGTATAGTGTTGGGGCTAGAACACAAGGCTCGGTGCATGCAAGGCATAGTTGGGAAGCCTCTTTCATGTGCTTCACCAGGATGCTGCCCAGGCCTGAAGCTGTGACCAGGGCTTCTGCTCTGCCACTGATACTTTCCTTCCTTGGGGGAGAGTTGCCAGGCAAGGCTAGCATGCTAGGTCTGTCCTACCAGATGCCTCTGTAACCATGAGTCTCCAGAAGGAGTCTTGAGGATGGGACAAAGGAGAAAGGTACAGAAAGTGACCCTCTGTCTCTGGTGTTGTCCATTGCCACCTGAAACCATTCACAACCAGTGCACTTGAACCTGTCAGATATGACATCCTGTACCCAGATCTGAATCACACACAGGAGGCAGGTAAACTCATCCATCCACCGCTGTCACAGTCACAGTGCACTCTGGGGTGGAGGGCAGGAGCTGGGTTGGCTGTCAGTGGTGCGCTCAGAACCATCCAGGGGCTAGATGGGCATGGAATCCAGAAGTCATGAGCTCAAAGCACCTAATATCCTTCCCTGTCCACCCAAGGAGATACGGGCTACAAGTTTGGCCCCTGCCTTGGCTAGGAAGGAAGGAGTCCCTTGCCTCTAACTTCATCCACCAAGGCCAGGTACCAGATGCTCCCTGGACCAGCTTTCTTTTCTTGACTGGTGGCATTTGGAGCACTGAGCACCGCTGTTCCCACCACCAACCTAGTGTCAGGACAGATGGCTCAGTGGAGGCCTTTTTCTGGGACTGTGAGAAGAACCTGGGAGAACCTCCATGACAGAGAGGAAGGCTGTGTGAGCTTGGCACATCCTAGGCATGAAACCATCCTACAGCCAGGATACCAGGCCCACTGCTGGCTGCCACCGCCTGCCTTTGCAGTTGTGTGCAAAGGCTGCCTTCAGCCCTGCCCTGGATTCTAGATCCCCCTTCAGCAGTCACTGCAGTTGCCAGAACTGAAACGTTCACCACCATGGTACAAAAACAACTGAACGATGTTGTCCGCGCAGCCTCGGCGGGCAAACCCGCTTGCTTTCATCCGTGCTGCTATTCCTAGGAAGATTTACAACTCCATTGCCCCACTATCCAAAGGATGCACTGGCGCAGGAGACCAGGAGGTGCCTTGGAGCAGCAAGGGCTCCCAAATGCGTCTCTCCTGTGGATGAGGGATGTAAGTCCAGAGAAGGGAAGGGACTGAGCTGAGGAGAGTACCCGACTTTCTCCTGCTAGCACCAAGGAGGATCTGGGCCTGGATGGTCCTCAAGGTCAAGTGAAGGGGTGTGCAGTCAAAGCAGTGAACTCACGTTTCTTCCAGGGTGTGGAAGTACCGAGGGTGCATGGGGAGCCACTCATGGGAGGATGTGAGAGCTGAGTCATGGACTCCCAGTAATGCTGGGAGAGGAGGAGGAGGAAGGAGGAATGATCAGAGCTGGGGAGGAGGAAGGAAGGATGGTAGACACGGACTAGATGGGCTTCCTGGAGATGCCTAGAATCCCGGGCGCATTCCTGTCATCCCAGAAAATGGTAGGCCCAGCTGTGCAAGCCCCACCCTTCTTCTTATAGGGACGCCCACTGCCTGGCACGGAAGTGAGGACTCCCTATGTCCTCACTCACTTCTGTCCTCCAATGTCCCTTCTGACTGTTGTGTGACCCGTGGCATCTAGAGGGGCCACAAGAGCCGGTTCTGTTGGACCAGGAGGTTCAGAGCTGACCCTGTGTGTGTAGGGGGGTTGCCCTCAGACAGAACTCTCCCCGTATTTGTCTGAGGGAGTCAGAGGTTCTTGGGTGAATTTCAGACTGCCCCGAGGAGCTGGTACCTGAGGGACAGGATTCGTCCACACAGCTCTGGCCTGCCCAGTTCTACTCTGAAGTGGGTAGGACAATTTCACAGGACTGCTAGGACGGGGTTCCAGGTTGAACAAGGCTGTGACAGAGAGCATGTGAGTTTTCAGTATCCATGAATGGTTCTGGGGTCTTAGATGTAGTCTGGCTGTCACAGACTGTGTTCTTCCACCTCTAGGTTATGAAGCCTTGTCTGTCTCTGTGCAGCATTGTGGGACCAGCACAGGAGATGGAGTGGGCTTTAGGTCCTCTGGGGGTGACTACATTTTCTCTGGAGATTGGTAGAGCTCTCTCATGTCTGCTCACTGTGGCTTCAGGAACCAGGAGGCTCAGCAGCTATATCCGCTTTGTCTTTATTTGGGAGAGACTGGAAAACTGCTTCAGGTCCAGTCCTTCCCCTGCCCTCCTCACTGGCACCTGATAAGTAGTCTTCAGACCTGTCAAGTGGCAGATGCTTGGAAGGGAGAACCCTGGCCTGTGTAGCCTCAGTTCCCCATCTGACTCCCAGCTTAGCTAGAGTGTGGAGGCCATCTTGGCTGCTCTGGGTGTTTCTTACCTGTGCCCCTCCTTCCCGGCCCAGGTGAAGGTGTGGTTCCAGAATCGGAGGACAAAATACAAACGGCAGAAGCTGGAGGAGGAAGGGCCTGAGTCCGAGCAGAAGAAGAAGGGTTCCCACCATATCAACCGGTGGCGTATCGCCACGAAGCAGGCCAACGGGGAGGACATTGATGTCACCTCTAATGACTAGGGGAACAATCATGAGCCCACAAGGGCAGAGCATTGCTTGCTGCTGGCCGGGGCCCCAGGGGGCCCAAGCTGGACTCTGGCCAGTCCCTAGCCAGGCTGCAGGGAGGCCTCGAGTCACGGCCCCACAGGGCTTGGAGCCTGGGGCCATCACTGTCAGAAGGAGAAGAAAATGGGCTGGCTGAGGCCTGGGACTGCTCAGCCTTCTGGTGGAGAGCCTGCTGCTTGGGTGGGCCATCATCACTGCAGCCTCCCAGCTGCTCTCCATGTCTCTTTCTGTCTTTGTTTTGAGACATTTCTGTTTTAATTTATTTTCCAGGTACCTGCTATAGTTCTTAGTGATCCTCTCATGCCCCCTTCCCTATGGGAATAATAAAAATCTCTCTCTTAATTGCACAATCATCATCTTCAACTGTAGAGCCTGGGCGGGTGGGTTGCAGTTCCCAGTGCAGTAGGGGTGGTCAGCAAGGGTGCTCAGGGCCCAGGAGCCTGAAGGGAAGCCTCGCTGGATCTTTGCAAACTCATAGAGGATCAGAAGGGCGGAGAATCCTTACACATACAGACTCAAGTGGCTTCTCCAGCTGAGGAGAATACAGACGAAGGAGTCCTGGGAGTGGGTTAAGGCGGGTCCAAGTCCAGGCCTTGCACAGATGTACGCATGTCCAGGAGAATCCGAGGCAGCCTTTTTTTTTTAAAAAAAATTCAAATGCGAGATCTTACTCTGTTGCTCAAACTGGCTTCCTAGTCACATCAATCCCCCTGCCTCAGCCTCCTGGGTACTGGATTGTAAGTATGAGGACACACCTAGTGTCCATGGGCTTAATGGTGAGCTTGCAGAGGTCATAGGCAGAGAAAGGCAGGACAGGTCCAGTGAACTCTTGTCCTTCTGCCCTTCAGTTTGTCTGTTTGTCCTTCCCCCTTGACATACTTCCTCCATCCTGGAGAAGTTCGACTTGTGTTTCCAGCAGTCTCCCCAGTCAACACCCAGGCCTGCCTCTACTTTACCTCCCATGAACTCCCCAACCATCCACTCTAGCCCTCTGCTGCCATAAATGGCAGTCACCAACCACTGTCCCAGTTCCCCTTGCAGCCACACCCATCTACTCCCTCCCTGAGCTAATCTGTTTCTCTACCTGCAGGAATGCCCTCCTTTTCTCCCTAACCCCCCATGTTTCCATTTTGGGTCCCTCGGCTCCGCTTCCTCTGGTCCATCCACACCTCACGTCTGTTCTACCCAGCTGGATTCCAGACCAGACAGTGGTGTCCAGTCACGCTTGGTCAATGCAGCTTCCGCAGCATCCCTGCCACCTGCCTGACCCCCGTCTGCTCTCTGGGAAGAACACAGGACATTAAGGGGCTTCTGTGAATATCTAAGAAGGTCCTCCATGCTGTGGCCAGGAGGGCTCTGTCACCACCCCCCATCAGGCAGGATAGTGTCTCAGTCCTGTGCTGACTTGTGGTTTCTCCTACATTGCTCCTGGTGTCCCTGAGCGAGCAGTCACAACTTTTGCTGGCCTGTGCTGTTCTTCCCATCTGGGAAGTTGGTGAGTACCCTGTGGACACCTGATCCAGGTTGAAGGCCCATGCGTATTGCCTGGGCTAGGTGCAGAAAAGAACAAGGGTTCTTTTGCCGAGAACACTCCCACTGTCCTCTGGGTACCTTTTTCAACTCTGCCTGTCTTGTTGATGTCCACTCCAATTTCCAGAAACCAAAAGACGTTGTTCCTCCTGTCCCCTCCTCCATCAAATGAATACATCCCACAAATCTTAAAAGTCTTAACCTGGCTGATTCTGAATTAAACCCTCGGCAACTCTTCCTGCCAACCAAGTGCAGTAGTTGTGTGTCGGGAGGGGGGGTGCATGAACAGGTAGGGTGGGAGTTAGGAGAGGTTCCCATCTCAGCCCTAGTCGTGGTGGGACAGAAAGGGTAGGCCCTTCCTCTGAAGATCCTACCATGCTTGGCTGGGGGGTGGGGTGGGGGATGGGTCCTGGAAGATCACAGCAGAATGCCCTGTCAAGAAGATAAAGGACTAGAAGGACCGGAAACCTGCCAATCTTCCTAGGCAGGCCTGCTGGGGCGGGGCGGGAAGCCCCCTCCATCCCCCCATGTTGTGCCTCTCCCGCAGACGGTAAATATTGGTGTTGTGACTTCATTAATAAAGGCTTCTGTGAGCCTGAAAAACATGGAATCAGGATGAACTATTTTCTGAGCTGCGGGCTTGCCAGGTTTGCTAATTTGGGAGTTTTTGGGCCCTCTCCAGGGAACAAACCGAAGTCTCTCCCGAAGAGACGAAAGAGACGCAGATGCAGCCGAACAGGGAGAAGACAGGACTGCATTCCCTGCAGCTCCTGCCCAGAGAGGGAGGCCTGCAAAGGGCCAGAGAGCAGACATTGGCCCCTCCCCTGCATCCATGCCTGGTGAATAGCTGCACCAGGCCTCCCTAGGCAAGCCTGCTTGGCCACTTCTCATCAGTGGTTTGCTGCCCTCCAGAGCCTCACCGAATGACGGCCTGATTCTTCTGAGCTGCCATGAGCCTAGAGTCAGCCGCACAAGCCTCAAGGGTAGCAAGCAGGAGTCCTTAACCCTTTGGCCCAACCCATGTCCTTCCTCTCAGGGAGCAGTCACGCTGCTTCCTCTTGTCCACAGAACTTTCCCAGATTGGTCTCTGCATGGTGCCTGCTGTCTTTACCAACTTCTCCTCACAGGTGCTGTGGTTGCTTCCCACAGGGCATCAAGCCTTCTTTGACTGGAGAGCCAGGCTCTGCCTGAGAGGAGCCAGCTTGCCCACAGGCCTCTCTGGGACCCTGCTCCAGGGCAGTCCCACAGTGGGAGGGGATGGGGGCAGCAGGCTTAGCGGTGCAGGCCCAGCCAGCTTTCCTGTCAGACGGCGCTGCCAAGGCGGAGCCAGACATCGGGAACAGGTTTAACCAATTACCCGAGCGCCCCATCTGCTGTCTGGGGTTCGTGTGAGGGTGAGTGCATGTGAGGGTGTTTGGAGTGTCTGGGAGGGCTGTGGGCGTGCGCGAGAGTGTGACTGTGTGGGTGGGTGTGGGTGTGTGGCTGTGCATGTGTGCTGTGCACGTGCGCAGAGTGTGGCTGCACATCCTGGCCATGCCCCCTCATTTGTCCAAGACTGAAGCTAGCAGCTTCTGGTCTTCCTGCCCACCCCCCAAACCTTGGGGTCTCAGTGGTCAACCTACCTAGCGCTTCAGCTTCTTGTCAGTAGCTCTCCTCATGCCTGGGAAGAGCATTTTCAAGTCACATGTTCAGATGCCCTTTGCTGACTCCTCCTGTGACTTGTTCACTCTCTCATCCACGTGTGAGACCCCACGTGACCCTCCCAGCTGTTCCCTCATTCTCTCTCAGATATGCCCTTGTCCTGCTGTCCTTGGTGGTACCAAGCTAGCAAGTCTTCTCAGACCACTCCTGCACCTACATGTTGAGGCGTGAGGACACTGGCTGATGGTGCATGGGTGACACCCTGTGCATGCTCTGCGTGCAGCCCCTTTTCTCCGTGCTAAATCCATTCTTCCTCCCTAAAGAGAGGCCTTAGACTGTCACTCTTCTCCCAGAGCCTCTTCCTGGCTACTGTCAGCAGAGAATCCTCCTTCCTTCCTTCCCTCCTTCCCTCCTTCCTTCCCTCTTTCCTCCCTCACCCTCCTTCCCTTTTGAGACAGGGTATCATGTATTTCAGGCTGGCTTCATATTTAATAAAAAACAGAGAATGAACTTGAACTTCCGATCCTCCTGCCTTCATCTCCTGAGTGCTGGGATTACCTGGGTGTCCTGTCATGCTCAGTTTAAGTGATGCTGGAGCTTATACCCAGGGCTTTATGAATGCCAGGCAACCAATGCACCTACATCCCCGATTTTGTGACTTCCATCTTCAGAAAGAAAAATGAACCCTGGAAGGCATGCCTTTGCATCACTTAGAGGAAGGAAGTTTAGGCTGGGAAACTGAGGGGAGCTGACAAAAAGGAACAATTAACAAATCTGGAAAGCCATGAAGGATGCTGAAGCAGCCCTTATAAGATGGGGATCCTGAATAGTATAGCCCTTAGTAACAAGGAGAAGGTTGGGTAGACCTTAGTAACAAGGAGAAGGCTGGGTAGCACTTAGGCCTTAGGGCAGGAGCAGTGACCAGCAGAACCTGGAGCTATGACCCAGGACAGAAAGAAATCTGCAAAAGTTGGAGGTCCAGGAAGAATACAGCCCCTCGGTCCTGTTTGGCCAATCCTATCTTCCTGCTCCTGACTCCATTGGTGGAAGTTAGGCTACAAGGTCTCCCATGAGTCCACCTCTTCTGGTGCACGTGCCTTTGACAGGGCCTTACCCTTGACTCTCCCCTCCATGGATACTTCTGTATCTAATTCTTCCTCTCCACCTGCCTCCTGTAATCTCCTTGGCTCCCTTGAAGGTCTCAAGAGCTCTCTGAAGTGGGATCCCTTCTATCTGTCCCTCAGGACACACTCTCCTCCGTTTCTGGTCTTTCTCTTGCCTTAATTTCTTTTCACCCCTGCCTGAGTCTCCCTTCTATGACCATTGAGTTCAGTGTCGGGCTGACATGACATATAACCATATCTCTCTGCCAGCTTACAGCAAAGCTGAAGAATTACTTCCAATCAGGGCCAGGGAGATGGCTTACTTAGGAAGGTGCTTCCCATGCAAGCACATAGACCTGAGTTTGATCCTCATGTAAAAATAAACAAACACCCCCCCACCCCCCACCCCCACGCACACTGTCATGATCCCAGTGCTGGGGAGACAGAGACAGGAGGATTCTTTGAAGCTTGTTAGCCAGGCAGCTTTTCCAAATAGGTAACTTCTCAGTTCAGTAAAAGACCCTGGCTCAATAAATAAGATGGACAGCTGGAGAGAGGGACAGGTGAGATGGTCAGCAGCTGAGGGTGCACAGTCCTTGCTGAGGACCTGCGCTTACTTCCTAGCACCCATCATGGGTGGCTGACAATTGCCTATAACTCTAGGGAATCTGATGCCTCTGCCTCTAAGGGCACCTAAACACAGCACACAGACACACACACACACACACACACACACACACACACACACACAATCTCCACAGGTTATGAACCAGAGGCTTACTGCCTTCCCAGACCTCAAAGCTTGTGTTTGCCCTGACCTCACTCTGACCATTCAGCTCTCCGTGGCTGAGCTTTCTTGGCAGCTTCTGGTCTGTCCACAGAGGAGGGCTTCCACGGGGCTTTACCCTAAGACTTCTCTTCCTGCTAGCCTACTGTACTCCTGGATGCAGTCAGTAAGTAAATCCTGTGCATGTCTTTGCTTTTGAGATTGGGCCTCAAATGGTCTGGTGAGAATGACTGACCTTGCACTCCTGATTCTCCATCCTCTACTTCCCAAGTGCAGGGATGACAGCGGGCAGGTGCCACCTCAACTGTATGCACGCTTATATATCCAGCCCTTGCTGGTCTCCTGACATCTCCACTTGGCTGTCTTCCAGAAACATGTAAGAACTTCTGAGATGCAATGGCTGCCTCTCCTGCAGATTTAGCCTTCTCTCTGTCTTTGCAGGCTCGGAATTAGAGCATCCTTTCTCCTCATGGTCCCAAACAGGGCAGAGGGTCGTCTGGCTCCCTGCTGCCACACACTCCCCAGTGACTTTACTGCTCTCTACCTTTGTCTCTGCCATCCCAGTTCAAGCCCTGGGAGGCCCAGCCTCCCATGACCAGCAGTGTGCCCTACCTGTCTCTCAGCAGCTGTGCTGTGTCCACATTCCCCTCCATGCTGCTCTCGGATGAAGCCACTCTCTCAAGGTGTCAGTGGCCTTGCTCGCCTCCGCAGGATCTTGCCTCTGTTCTGGAAATACACTGGATTTCATACGGCTCATTCTTGGAGTGGCTGGAGCCTTCTGTGCCACCTCTGCCTCTCCCATAACTGCACAGGAAGAAGAAGAGAGCGATGTCGGGTGGCCTGGGATTGATAGCAGTCCCTCTGTCCTCACTGGGGTGCATGGACTCTCCCAGGGGAGAATCAGTTGCCTCCCAGTCTGTTCATTGTCTCTTCTTTTCCCATCTGTTATTTTTCCTTCTCTCCACCTCTCCCAGAGCTTTGCAGTGGGGCCCAGGTCTTTGAACTGACTGGAGAGTCATCTTCTGACCTTAGAAAAGGCTGACAGCAGTTGCCGGGAGGTGTAGGTGTGGGTTACCTGGTACTAGAGAAAAACGTGGAAAAAGGACTTGGGAGAAGCATGAGAAATTCCCATCTGAGGGCTTACTGGTGCCTAGATGAGACAGCAGGAATGGCAGTAACGGGGTGGGGGCAGGAGGTGCCGAAGGAGGCCTTGGTCTGAATATAACTCAGGATCCTCAGGCCTCAGGAAAGGGTCACTCATCACTGTTCTCATACCCTTCCCCCTGCCCCAGCATGCTGACTCTCCTGGTCTTTGACTGAGTGGGAGGAAGATCAGATCCAGGCCAGTCCACGGGGATGGAGAGAAGAGGCTGCATTCTTCAAGTGTTAATGATCTCAGATCTGGGTAGGAGCTGAGTCCCCATCTAGCTAAAAACAACAAACAGTTCCCAGGAGGGATTTGTGTATGTCCTGAGAGTCAGGGATTTCCGCCCCAGAGACCAGTAGTCTCCTGACCTCAGAGTATCACTTTGAATAGAGACCCCCATCCTCTCCCTCTTTAGCCCTTTCAGTGAGGCCCAGGGCCCAAGTCTCTTCCTCATACCTCGGATGACTAGGAGGCAGGAGAGAAGGGTCTGGTGCATTTCCCGCTGGTCTCTCTACTCTTCCAACAAGCCAGTGAGTGACCCTGTCCTGGTCATTTGGTAGATAAGTACACCAAGTCTCAGTTCAGAAGAACCTACACCAAAGGCTGGGGAGATGGTTCAGCTGGCAAAGTGATGAAACCAACATTTAAAAAGCCAGGGGGCTAGATTTGGTGGTATATGCCTTTAATCTCAGGACTTGGGAGGCAGGTGGGTCTCTGAGTTTGAGGCCAGCCTGAGTTCCAGGATAGCCAGGGCTATGTAGAGAGACCCTGTCTCAAAACAATCCAACTAATAATAATAATAACAATGATGATGATGATGATGAAGCCAGGTGTGCTGAGCTGTGCTTGTCCCAGCAGTAGAAAGGTAGAGAGAGGCAG